TTGTACATTTCCTTTTTTGTTCTTAGTTTTTTTTTTTGCTGTCTGAATGTAATATTATGGCAGATTAGTCTTCAATATTTTTTCTTCTACTTGATCTAATCTGTTGTTAAGGCTTTCAACTGAGTTTTAAATTGGACTTATTGAGCTTTTCATCTTCAAGATTTCTGTTTGATTCTTTTTCAACATCTTCATTTCTTTATTGGATTGATCATCTATATCCTGCATTGTCTTCCTCAGTTCATTCAACTTTTTATTTGTATTCTTTTGGACGTCATTGAACTTTCAAAAAAATTATTCGTTTGAATTCTTTGTCTAGCATTTCATCTACTTTGGTATCTTTGGGATCTGTCACTATGGAGTTATGAACTTTAGAAAGTGACATAGTATGTTGGTTTTCGTGTTTCTTGTATTTGTATGTTGAGATTTATGCATGTATTAGGATATGGATACCGCTTTCATTTTCATGTGGTATTCTTTTTTGGTATGTGGCTTTCTTCTCCCAATGTAGCTTGAGGTATTGGCTTGTTGTATATGTTGCATTTATTTCTAATCAGACTCTAATACCGTAAGTTCTTGGGTTTGGGCACAGAACATACTGTATTGGAATCAGAGACCCACTGTCTCTGAAAGTCTTATAAAAGAGGGGGCATTCTGATACTTCAGGTAGAATGTTGACCAGCAGAGTATGTGGGATGCACCCTTTGGGGTTATTCTCCTACAAGAGTTGAGCACCTATCTGGACCTGGGGATTTCCACAGGTATTCCCTGTTGATAGCAGCTTTGTTACTTGAAAGTGATTCTGATATTTGTTACTCCAGCTGCATTAAAGAGCCTGAAGCTCTTGTCCTCTGGAGACTGGTGCAGATCTATGTGCTTCACCAGCAAAGGAGGGGACTGAAATCACAATTCCTCTTAGGACTCACCTTCAGTCTTATTAATCCTAGTCAATCAGATCAGTTTCTCCTCCAGTCAATATAGAGGACCCATGTAGATGTGGTGTCAGCAAGCATTGTATATTTTTCTTCTGTGCAGCTATGGTTGGGGAATCTGTCCAGTAGCTGGACCTTAGCCTCCTTCTGCCTGTGGCCACCTGGGAACTGGTCAATAGCTGGGAGTTTACATCTAACCTTTTTCCTTAAGTATCCAACAGGGTTCCAGTGAGACTGGGTTGTGGCTGGAGTTGGGCTTAATTCTTCTCAGCAAAGCTGGGAGGATAGTTTAGTAGCTGAGCACCTGCCTATCCCCAGCACCAGAAGCGGGGGTCGGGGTTACCATGACAATAATAATAAATAAATTTAAAACAAAAAGGATAATGAAGAGGAAAAACACAAAAATAGAAATAAAAGGAAAAATGAGAAGAACGAAAATAAATTTTTAAGTAAAAATTAAGGAAAACATAAAAGAATTGACATAGATTAAAAATGACTCACAACTTTCTGAAGTGCTTAAAAGTCTGAGTGTGGCTGATTGTAGTCTATGTTGATTTAAGTATCCTTCCAGTCTTTTAGGGCTGGATTCTGCCAGGTATGAGGCAAGTGTAGTGGGTTGGAGACACAGCCAAGGCTGCAAACTTGTTGGAATTCTCCGCTTTTCCATGCTAGTTTGGGTGGAATGCAGGCTGTGTCTCTTGCTCAATAGATTCAGGTAGAATGTTGACCACACCAGGAGGATATTCTCTCCTGAGGTCACTAGTCTGCCCACCTAGGGGCATGGCAAATTCTAGCGCCTCTAAGAGCAGGAAGAGTAAAGAAACCCCTGAATTCTTCAATTTCTTCATTCGGGGTATTTTTTTAATAAACCCAGTGATCTGCTACCCTGGATTCCAGCACCTTCAGACCTGACCCCTGTGTGAAACCACATTTGACACCACATGTGATTGGTGTTGCTCTCAACTGCAGAGGGAAGGTTCCCTGAGATTCCCTGTGGTAGCCTGCACTCCCAAGCCATAGAACTTCTCAGCACGTTTGTGTCAGACACTCTCCCAATCCAACAGCATCCTGTATGGCCACCTCCTGCCCAGTCAGTATAGGTATCCATAGGGTATTATGGTGTCAGATTTTCTGACTCCTGCCAGATCAGTATAATCTCAAGAGGGCTCCTGGATATAGCATCCTGAGAGTTTGCTAAGAGAGGTAGGGACATTTCTTCTCTAAAGCCAGCTTGTGCAGACTCCAGGTCACTTATTTAAGCTGTCTGCAGGGTTCAGCCTTCCACTCCATGCTGCAAATCTTTTACCTTTACCCTCTTAGAGGGTAGAGTCCCCTTCCCCTGAGGATCTGAGCACCAGATTCTGGGGTACTCCACTTCTCTTGCTTTGTGACTCTCCCTAGTCTCTGGATTCCACCAGGTCTCATTTTCTGTGCTGTCAGTTTTCAGGGGTCACTCATGGCTACTCACCTAGAGCAGTTGCATACCTGTTGTCTTGTTTCTGCCTCCAGAGAAATAGGCTAGTGCTGAGTGCATCTCTTCTGCCATCTAACTCTCCCTCCATCTCCTTTAGGTATCATTTTTTAAATGTTTTTACAGTTAATTAATCCTCATGAAAAATTCACACTATCACCGCAGCTAAAGTCATTGCAGAATCTTGATGCCTTTGGCTTTTTGCCAGCTCCAACATTTGCCTTCACAGTCCCCCTGACTTTCTTCATTCTGTTCTTGCATTCCTTTCGCTGTTTTCTTGAGGTCTTTTTCTTTTCATACAGGCTGTATCTTGCCAGTCTATGTTTGGGTTCATTTTTCTTTGCATAATCGAAGGAATCATATATCATGCCAAAGCCAGTTGTCTTGCCATGTCTAAAATGGGTTCTAAATCTAAATACAAAGATAACATCTGGTGTGGTTTTGTACATTTTGGTTAATTTTTCTAGAATTTTTCTCTTGGGAACTGTTGCTTTCCCAGGGTGAAGAACATCAATGACCATTTGTTTCATCTGAAGTAGTCGATTGGTCATGAACTTCCTGGTCTGGATAGTTACTGTGTCATTCATGATGGTGGCAGGTCCTCCTCCTTTATGTATTCTTGATACTCTTATTGAACATTGGTTGCTGGTATATGCATGAATTTATTATTGTATATGTTATATTAAGCGTTGTTATGGTTTGGATGTGAGGTGCCCCTCAAAAGCTCATGTGTGAGACAATGCAGGAGGGTTTGGAAAGTAGATGATTGGATTGTGGGAATCTTAACCCAATCGGTGAATTGATCACCTGATGGAATTAATTCAGTGGTGGCTGGGGGTGCCGGGGGTGTGGCTGGAGGAGGTGGGGCATTGGGGACGTGGATTTGCGGTATTTATTTGTATGTGGCAAGTGAGGATTTCTCTCTCTGCTTTCTGACCATCACGTGAGCCACTTCCCTTTACCACACTCTTCTGCCATGATGTTCTGCCTCATCTCGAGGCAAGAATAGATCTGGCTATGTATGGATTGAGATCTCTGAATCTGTGAGCCCTCAATATAAACTTTTCTTCCTCTAACATTGTTCTGCTCAGTTTTTTAGTCATAAGAGCAAAAAAAAAAAAAGACAAAAATGTTAAGCTTTATGATAGTTGTCACTATATAATGCTATCAGTTGATTTTATTTAGTCACATATATCTGTCCATTCATCCATTGTGTTAGCTTTTTGTTGTGACCAAAATACCTGACAAGAACAACTTCAGAGGAGGAAAGATTTACTTTGGCTGATGGTTTCAGAGGATTCAGTCCATGGTCCACCAGCTTTATTGCTCTAGGCCTGAGATGAAGCAGAACACCATGGCAGAAGGGTGTGGTGGAGGAAAGCTGCTCTGTGAGTGACAGCCAGGAGGCAGAGGGAGACAGAGAGGAAGGGGCTGGGACAGTTCCCAAGACTATGCCATCAGTGCCTTGCTTTCTCCAGCCATGCCCTACCTGTCTATAGTTTTCACTATCATCCACTAAATACATTCAAATTATTTATCCATCAAATGGATCAATCCACTGATGAAATTAGAGCCCTCATGATCCAGACATTTCCTCTCTGAACATTGCTGCATTGCTTAACACATGAACTTTTGGGGGACATTCCAGATCTAAACCATGTTGTTGATTAGCTGAGTTGTGCCATTGTGAAAAACGTAGGCTATGATTCCGGCCTGGATTCAGGTTACTTCAACTTAATAGAAACTCAGAAAGGCTTAGTTACTTACAGCTGGTAAGTAACACAGCAGGATTCTAGCCCAGATCTGCTCATGCTTAATCTGATATTTTCTAATATCTCCACTAAATATATTCTCTTCCTCATTTCCACTTCTGAGAATTACATTTACTCTTCAAAAGTCCTCTCAAATGCCATCATTTCCAAGAGGACTTTTCTGATTGTCTCGGTCTGATATCATCTTCTTCCATGTGTCTTGCTTCTGTCCATTGTATTAATAGTATATATAGAGCTTTGGGTTCGTGCTTGGTTAGCCCTCCCCATGAGGCTAATTAGGCTGGAGAGACAGCCTGCTCCTCTCTTGAATCCCTATGGATTTGTTCTCTGTCCACGGCATGTACATTCATTCTTTTCTATAATTTAGTTTGGGTAGACTCCAGAAGCCTTTCTCTAGGATATAACTAGAAATTAGGCACATAAACTGTTACTTTCTGGTCCAATTTTTTCCCCTTTAGCAAGATAGTCTCTATCCAAACAACCTTTTAGCCTGGGCATAAATTTGAAAGGTAGTTCTCTTTCACTATCTTGCTGTTGAATTACAAATATTACTAAACCATAAAATAATTTTACACTATGTAGACCTTGCCTTTGTTTTGCTGAGAGGACCCAAGAACAAGGAAATTCCTACTTATTGGGAACTTACTATATACCCAGTGTGATACTTAGTTTTGATAATATAAAGAAGGAAACTTGGACTTTGTCTGTAAGGAGTTTAGTTGTCTCTAGGCACCAAGCACTGAACTTTATTAACATGGTCTGATTCATTTCCTCTGGGATGTTGGAGATGCCAGCTGATGTGTCTACTCTTTGGATCACTCATCCTAGGTTTCCACACTCTGCACACGATTCTTGGAGTCCACTGTCTCCCTTTGCACAACTTGCTGGATTATATTGATAATGGAGTGTTGCTTCTCACTGAAACAGCAGTCACAAGGCTTATAAAAGGTAAGAGGCCCTGAGTGTATAAGTGTGCTGGTTCCAGCCTGGGCACCACCAGAGCTGGCTTTCTGGGTGTGTGAACTGTGGCTGTCACACTGAGCCTGCTGTACTAAGAAAGGTCCCATGCTTGGCTTAATGCCCTGCAGAGGATCTTGAAATTTGTAATATTTGAACATGTCCCTTTTGCAATGGTCCCACAAATTATGCAAGTAGTCCTGTTGAGTATAGTCCATTGCCTGTGACCACCTTTGGGCTAATGTAAAGTACCTTAGCTCTTCAAGAAGCCCCGAAGAACTTCTCAAGCAACACACAGCTATTTGGTGTGGCTTGAGAAGTTCTTTGGGGCTTTCACTATGCACAAGGGCACTTGAGAATAGGAGACCCTGTAGGCTTGTTCTCAAGAAAGTATCACAGAATGGCTTATTTACAGCTGATTGACTGTCATCATCTCAGCCTTGAAATGCAGGAAAAACAGAGAAGCAGTACTTATATGAATTTGATTTTTAAATAAGGTCACTCTCAATTGTGGTACTTTAGTAGATGAATTTTGTTAATGCATATGAGAACATTTGCCAACCCTGAAAGTACCTTCTGTTTTAAGTTAATCAATAATATTGCTTTGTGATTGGCAGCTTATTACAGAAAATCCCTTCTTAGTCACCCACCTAAAATTTTCAAAGTGTCGCTTAACTCGAGAATATAAAGTTGGAATATATATTATCAGGATGAACCACTAAAGTGTTAAAGACTGTTTGTCTTATTTGCCAACTCTTTCTAACAGATCTGGATAATTCAGAGAAGAATGAAAAACTGAAATTCAGCATCCTTGTACGACTTCCTCCGGTAATCCTGAATTTTGTTTTCCCTTCCGGTAATCCTGAATTTTGTTTTCCCTTAAGTCTTGGCACGACCCTCCTTCAATTTCTTTTTGTAAGAAGAACATTTACTTGCTTTTGGCTGAAGTCAATTGAAGTATTTCATTTTCCAGTTCTTCCTAAGAAATCCTATCCACCCCCACCCCTCTGTTGGCTATTTCCCGTTAGGTCTACAATGTACTTGCTTTTCTGGCTTTGCACAGTATTGGCATAGCCCACTGAGAACATTTAGCCATTTTCTCCTCTTAGGAAACCACACTAATATTTACATCTGAGTCTGAGTAGGAGTGAGGGGGGAAACATGTGCTTTTGGCATTTAAACTGATAAGAAATTTAAATGCAGGTGAGGTCAGAGGTTCTGGAACTGTATTTCCTCTTAGTACATTTCCAGCAGAACCTTCCCAGGTCAAAGGAAAAATGAGAAACATGAGGGGGAAAAAGTTAAAGGAATTCCTTGGAGGTTTTTCTTTCTTTCTTTTTTTTTTTTTTTTTGAGGGGGAGGGGTGCACTAATATCCAAGTCTGAAATACCATGAAAAAATACAGAATTCCACAGCAAAGTCTTCTGACTACTTCCTTGACCCTAAGAGCCTAGGTACCCTGTCCACGGTTTACCTCCCTTGAGTGCTTGTACTTTTGACACTGGACCTAGTGGTCTCACTTTGTAATAGTCTCTCTTCATCACAGGCTTAATGGAGCAAAGGCAAGAATAGAGAACAAAGCATATTTTCCCTGGCTCAGTCTCTCTAGGGAACATTGCTGAACATTTAGTTTGGTCTATAAATTTGATTTTTTGTTTGTTTTTTTGGCCTCAGACCTAGTGAATAAAAATTTCCTAGGTAAGACAGTGGCAGAGAAGTTGATATAAACATGCCTATAACCTTTTGTTTGCTTTTAAAATATCACTTAGGCTTGCCACACACATTTCCAGCTTTTAAGAGTAGCAGATAACTCCATTTCAGAAAAAGAATTTGGCAGCATGAATGTATCAACTGCTTTCCTCAAGGTAGCAATTGAGAGGAGTCTTAATTCAGAACTCAGAAGCATACTTCATAGCAATGTAGTCTTTCTTTTAAAATGGCTAGTCATTTTGGAATATTACTTTTAAAATTATGAACACATAAGGTATATTTAATGAACTGTGAGATATATTTTTATACAATTTTCAATTTGCATGATAGCTCATTGGTCAGAAGATCTGTCGAGTTTGGGATCATCCTATGAGTTCCAATATCATTTCACGGACCCATGTGACCCAACTGCTTCAGAACTATAAGAAGCAGGTGAGTCTGTGAAAACACAGCCCTTCCATGTTCCTGTATCCTATATTTCCCAGTGTCAACATAACCACATGGACAGCAACTGTAATTCTGATGACTTTAAATGCATGATTGTTTCAGAGATATCAGTTAATACCAGAAGTGATTTCTCTTTTAGTCTCGGAATTCTGTGATGGACAAGTCATCATTCAGTGTAGAATTTCTGCCTCTGAACTACTTCATTGAAATTCTGACTGACCTGGAGTCCTCCAGTCAAGGTAATTCAGCCCTCTGTTCACAGCTTTCTCCTTGACACATCAGTCATTCTCTATTCACTTCTGTGTACCATTTTCTTTTCAAAAATATGCCTTACTTTACAAGTAGGCCTTTACTGTAATTGATTTTTCATTAGCCATACGCAGTTTACTGCCCCAATTACAAAAGGAATCATCACCTTTGATGTTTTTAAAGGGTTTAAATCCTGTTTAGTTGATGTGAATGCTCTTGAAGTTTGATGAAATTTCACAACACATTCTGAGAATGTATTTTGATAAAATATAAAGTTAATGAGCTATGGGAAAAAGTTATAAATATTCCTCGGTTCTATAGTAACACACATACACATTTTTCCCCCCAGCTCTGTGTGATTTTGAAGGACATGACAATGTGGATGCGCAATTTATACAGGAAGCAGCTCTGAAACACACCACAATGCTTTTGGACTTATAAAAGAAAAAAAATTCTATTGTAACTACTTGTAATATTTTAATCTTGCTCATTAACCTTACTCATTGATAATTCTTTAGCAATATTTAAAACTGATAAAAAATCAGAATATATTGTTGAACAGTCTGAATTTCAGTTTGGTCCTTGTTTAGACAGAATTAACCTCATTCCAGTTTTGAACAACCAATAAACAGTCCAGTGTATTGAAATGACAAACAGTCCAAGATGACCTTCAGTGCCATAAACAGTGCTCTTCCTAGTGGCCAAGCAGACCAAGAGCTAGTTTCTGTTGAACTTTGGAATAAAATGGACTTCAGAAATGTAGGAAATAGTGCTTAGGCCAGCAAAAACTTAAAAATCACAAGCAGAAGAAATATTGTATAAGAATTTTACTTGAAAAGGAGTTTTTTTTTTAAATTGGACTAGATAAAATCTATCTCCACTATACCATCATTTGTAACATAGTAATTTGTACATGTAATAGAGTAGGGTTTGTCTTTGTGATAGTTCAGATGGAACTGTATTTAATTTTTTATATTTATAAAAGTTTGATTTAATATTATACTATTAAAAATAACCCCAATGCTGACAGCTTTGGTCTGACTCTTCTGTTTTTGAACATAGCCTTTTTATCCAGGAATCTTGAGTCCATGAACATGTTCCTTTAATGTTCCCCAGGACACCTTAACTGGTTGTACCATTTTCTGTTTTTCTCTCTTACAGTGACTTTATTCTGACCTATAAATACAATTGCTTCTGGGACTCAGCTTATAATGTTTTTTCCCCTCTTCAGTATTCTTGTGAAAATTTAATGATTATAAATATCACCAATGATTATTCAACTTTTCTTCTAAAAAAAAAAAGTCACCATTGTGTTCTAAAAATTGCCTTCTCCTATAGAATTTCCTCTTTTGTTCAAACACTTCATAGTCACCAATCCTCAAGATCTTGGAGCCAAATCAGCAATGCAATGCTGATTCTTTTGAATGAGGTCTTTTTTGAATTGTCATTGCCTAAAGCCTAATTTTTCACACACTTATTTAAGATAAACATTAGTTTGATCCTATCAGTTTGCTCATATTCAATAGCTTGCTATTCAGTAAAAGAAAATTCAAACTCCTTAATGTTCAACTTTTCCAAATCCTGACCCTGAATACCATGAGCATTCTTTTACAGGTAGGCCAGCTCACTGGGATATGAATACAGCTTTTTCAAGCTTAAGGGCCAGATTAGAAGTTCTGTTTGATGGGGCTGTAGCTCAGTGGCAGAGCGCTTGCCTAGCATATGTGAAGCACTGGGTTTGATCCTCAGCACCACATAAAAATAAACAAATAAAATAAAGACATGCTGTCCACTTACAATTACAAAAAAATTTAAATAAGAAAAAAAGAAGTTCCATCTGAGTATAATCCAGGTCATTTCAACACATGGTGGCACCTACCTTCTCTCAATCAGTAGTATACATTATAATGGTTAAAAAATCACAAGGGATGGATATTTAAAAGGTGTTTCATTTTTTTTTTGGTGTTTGAACTTCAAACATTTAAAAAAATATGTTCTAATTAGTTATACATGACAGTAGAATGCACTTATGGTGTTTAAACTTATGTGCATATATTTTGAGTCCTTAAAGAGATTACTAGTTTCTATAACACAGCTCTTTAAGTATATAACATTCATTTATTAATTACATGGTTGATACAGTGTTACTTATCAAAGGCACTCCCAAATAATTACTTTATAATAACTCTGCAAAGCAATTAGGTTAGATTTGGGTCTCAGAATGAGAAGGAAATTAAATTTTCCAATTTGACAAGATAGGGGCTTAGAACAGAATATTTATCCAAATAAAGGGATATATTTCTCATTCCAAGAGTTGTGAAATAAAATTTATAATTACTACCAGTGACTATAAAAACAATGTTTCAACTTAGTTGTATATTCTTGTATATGAGAAATCAGAATTAGGAAAATACACTTGGTGAAATACAGTAATATTAGAGTAGTAAGTAGAATTGGCCTCATTTTCAGGTCTTTTCTCTCACATGCAAAACTGTAAATATAGTATTTAATTTGAGATTTTGATAAATCTATTATTAGAGCTTAAAATAATCATTTGATTTACAGATAATGTGAAAAATCCGGATTCGTAAGAAAGATAGATTAGGATATAAATATTTGTGTGGCAAAAGGATTCTTGTGAAAAAGAATCACTATAACATCAAAAAAGACAAGCTTGGCTACTGCTTCTTACCTGATTTAGATTTACTAACATGACCTTCAAGTGCCACCTCAACAAACTGAGTTATGCTTTTGGATCCTTGGGATATCTTAAGTTCCATGTATGCAGTTGAAAAAGAATTTAATTCTGTACTTTGATGAAAAGTTATTTTATTCTGCACTTGCCTACTACATATTTCTGAAACTATGAAGAATGAAAAATACACGAGTAATTAAAATATTTGCTTTGAAGTGTGGGGCAATTCTGTGTCTTTCTCAACATCATGTGAAACCCAGAAGTTGGTTAGTGTAAAAAGAACCAAGTTGTACTGTTGCTGGTTGCGCTTCATTGATCTGCAGTGTGAGAATGATGATGCTCACATGCTCTGGCTGTAGAAATGAGGAATCCTGGATTGGTCTACACATTCAAATTTCAATTGGTTTTATAACAGGTTTCCTTATATGCCTCATATTGGATCCAGGTTCACTGGGCTTAAAAGGAGCCAGAGCACCGTATGGCTTTGGCACAGGAAGAGTGGCGTCTGCTTCTGGAATGTAGGCATTTGGACGCTGCTCCGCTGATGTGTAAACACCATTGGGCAGCAGTTGATTATCTCTTTCTCGCAACTCCTGCAAAGAATCATTTTCTTTCAGTTTTCTGAAAACTCTAAAGTTACCTCACCTTCAGATCCCCAAAGACAACTGAGCAGCCTTTTGCTGTGCTCAATGATCCCCCCTACACGCGCCCATTGCAACTCACTGCTATGGGCTGTATTGTTTAAGCATCATGATGAGGCTGAGGCTTAGGGTTTATCAAAAACTGCTTGTTGGGTTCTAGATGCACTGCATTCCAACCTCAGTCTCTCATCAAGAGCTAATTATTTCTGCACTTTTTACAAAGGCAGAACAGTAATATTTTCTTTGCTAAGTGACTGATGAGCAAATTTACAACAGACTAGACAATAAATAGAACCAGAAGAGAGAAATGGTCAGGAGTTTGAGCCTCTAGGTCTTCAATATTTCTGCCTGTGCCTCTGGACAATAATCTTAGGGCACTAATATAAAGTCTACATGATGAAGAGTATAGTCCCAGGAAAGTATAGCCCAGGAAAGGCTCATCCCAGATGGTATGGAAATTACAAATCAGACCCTGTGCTCTGTAGTCCTAGTATGGATTCTGACTGTATATTTTACTTGGCTTAGTGATAAATAGTGATCCTTTTAGGGACATTCACTTGACAGTCTGATTTGTACCCCAGGATGCCATCTACTTGGCAGGAGATGCTTGATTCTAATCCTAATCTACTGAAAGCTTATGAGGGTAGACAGAAGAATGGGACACCAAACTTGTGTATGGATTCAATGGTAGAAAGAGACTTAGGCGAGAGGTGGGAGAAGAAAGGAGTGGCCTGGAGGCCTGTGATGCATACCAGGTGTGATGTCTGTAGAAGGCAGTGGCAATCACCTTGATATGCATGATATTGTGGAAGTTTACAATGTGCTGTGAACACAGAAGAGGCAGGTATCTGAGCAAGGGTGTGAGAAGAAAGACTGGAGACCTTTGGACGAAGCCAGTGCCATGCTGGTGGGAGCCCTGGGAGTAGGACTGGGAGGGGATTTGATGCTTATCGAGTGTTCTTCAAGTGCACTGCTATACTTTGACTTATCTATGTAATATAACAAGTTTCTTTTTAAAGTATTTTGGGACTGTGTGTAGGAGAGGAAGATATTTTTCATAAATGGGCTGAGCATCCCTAACCCCAAAACCTGAAATCCAAAAATACTCCAAAGTCCTAGCTTTTTGAACACAGGATGTCACAAGTATAAAATTCCATAGCTGACATCACCAGGTGTTGTAGTAAAAACTCAGGCTATGTGTGCAATGTACATATTCAATATAAATAGGTGCTATACCCAAGATAGCTCATTATGTATATGCAAATATTCTGAAATCTGAGAAAAATCCAAAACACTTTTGGTCCCAAGCATTTTGAATAAAGAATAGACCACCTACATAAGAAGACTGGTCCCCAGAAAACAGCCCTTCCTGGAACACTTAAATTTTTTTTTTTTTTTTTTTATTAATCCAGGGGTGCTTTACCACTGAGCTACATCTCCAGTCCTTTCTATTTTTGAGAAAAGGTCTGAGTAAGTTGCTGAGGCTAGCCTCAAACTTGTGATCCTCCTGCCTCAGCTTCTTCAATTGCTGGGATTACAGTGACTGTGTCTGGCCTTTCTTGGCACACTTTACAAATGCAATATGGGAGCCAAAGCTTACCTGAAACTTTTCAGTGAGGGCCACTTCATACATTTGTTCATCTCGAAGTACCTTCATCCATTCTCTCTCAATGTCTTTATTGAGTGGCAGACCTTTTTCTAATCTGGAATTGCAATAAAAGATGAATTCTTCTTTCTCTTTGACTTCCTTCTGGAGTTCAATGGTCAGGGCTTGTTTCATGGACAGCTCAGCAACAAGAGCCATCATTTTTTCAGTAACATCTTTGATCCTTTTCTGATAGCCATTCATCTAGAATCAAAGAGCCCAAGGTTTAGTCAATATGTACATTCCATGAAGACTTGAGGAAATGGCAGTCTGTTGGCTATCTGTACTGGTGTGTGTGTGAGGGGGGGCAGCATTCTTACCTGAAGGAAGGAAGGTTTAACAATTTATGGAAAATAAGAAATGAAAGAGACTTCAGGGATTAAGCCCAACACCCTGGTATATGAAGAAAAAAATGTTTATCAGTTACTTGATTTTGCAGTGAACAGCATGGAGGGGAAGTTTAATGTCTGTTTTTAAGAGGTGAGAAAGAGAGATGAGAGAATGGTCTTAATGCTTCAGTTCTGGCCGAAGTTAACAGTTTGTATCTTACCCAGCTATGCTAGAGCTTTCCTGGCCATGTCAAAGTGGTCACTATTATCATTTCTCAGGTACCTTCCAGGGAGACATTGAGCTTTGACAAATAAGCCCTCATTAAAAAAAAAAAAAAAGAAAATGACTTTTCCTCAAGAAGGGAAATTTATTTTGCAGAAGGAAGGTGGCAGCATTTATAGAAACATGAGGTGTGCAAATTCATGAGCTTAAGTAAGTATTAGTGATTATTTTATGAGGTAAGTTGTGAACTATAGAGCTGCCACTGGACAGATCAGTCTATTAGAAGTGGCCAGAGAACAAATATAAAAACCAAATAAAAATGAAAGTACCCTAAGATTTACTATCTTTCCTATTTGGTGTGCCCAAGCTTTCTAGAACAGGATTACTTATTCATGAATGTTTTTCTAGAGTCTAGTACATGTGAGATACTGGGGAAACTTAAGAATGAGAAACTATTGCTGCCTTCTAGAGCCCACAATCTGGGATATAGACAC